CTCTGCAGACCCACACAGCCTCATGCAATGAGGCAGAATGCAGGAAGAGCACAGGTCGGTGGGTACAAAGTCATGTGGATCCCAGGGTAGTGGCCTCATCACAGAGCTGGAAGCAACCAGGGTGCCCCAGCAGGAAGGTGAAGGCAGAGAAAGAGGGGAAGGTTTCCAGGGCCCTCCTTATGAGAGGACCCTGCCCACAAGGAGGCACCATCAGGCTGTGACCTGATTGACAGGTTGTATGCCATCCCTACACTTTAATCTATCTTCAAGTTGACAGGAAGTTACATCATTGCACAGACCATCCCTTGTCAATGTTCCACAACTCTTTAGCCATACGTAATTTTGAAGCATCAATAATAAAATCATATTGGCACATAACAGGACAAAACTAAACTGTATACAACTGAAAATGTACCAGCTCATTTAAACACAATTTTCTATCAATATAGCTGTATATAGCATGTGTTCTTTGTTCTCTGACATCATACAATCCCAAGTAGCCAATATCATCAAGCTACTCAGGCCACCCAATAGAAGTCCATTGAACGAGGGGTGTTAGAGTGGAGACCTGAAGCCCATCTGTAGACAGTTAGACATCCCCTCACAGAAGGGTTGCAAACAAGGGAAAAGCCAACCAGGGTGCAGTGTAGCACTGATGAAACACACAATACTCCTCTAGTTTTTTAATGCTTCTCTCCCCACCCCGACTCCCCTACTATCATGATTCCAGTTCTACCTTACAAATCCAGCTAGACCAGAGCATGTAACTGGTACAGATAAGAACTCTCGACACATGGAACCCAGAACAGATAAACCCCTCGGGAACAGTAATGGGAGTAGCGATGTCATGAGGGTGGAAGGAAGGTCTGGGGAGAAGGGGGAGAAAGGGGGAACCGATCACAATGATCCACATATAACCTCCACCCCACCCCCCACCAACCCAAGGGGGATGAACAACAGAAACATGGGTGAAGATATGAATAATAATAATTTGCAATTTATCAAGGCGTCATGAGGGTGGGAGGATGGGGGAGGGAGGGAAAAAGAGGATCTGATACCAAGGGCTCAAATAGAAAGAAAATGTTTTGAAAATGATGATGGCAACAATATGCATAAATGTGCTTGATACAATTGATGTATGGATTGTTATAAGAGCTGTAAGAGGCCCAAATAAAATTATATATATATGAATAGAAGTCCATAGGAGCACTGCAGCCTCTTGTAAATCATACTTTTGAAAAACATTAACTTACTTGATTTTTTTTTTAGAGCAACAAAATCATTAAGCTTGGTGAATTAAACTTTAGACTGCCATTAGTCTTGACCCTTTAATCCCATACCAGGGAGATGAGATCACATTTCCATTTTGGTTTTGTGCAGGCAGCCATTGCCCAACACAGAATCGCTGCTCATAATTACACCACAACCCCCAGTTCGGCCAGTCCTAGCCAGGCCAGAGGCTGTAATCTTTCTGTGCTGTTAGGTGGCACCAAGTGGAGCCAGCTCCCACCAGTAGTGACCCTGTGTACAACAGAAGGAAGCACCCCCGGCACTGCCCAGCCTCACAATTGTCCTTGTGTTTGAGCCCACTGATACAGCCACTGTGTCCATGCATCTTGTCAAGTCTTCCTGTTCTCTTGCTGTCCCTCTACATTACCAAACAGGATGTCCCATAGTCATTTCCCCCCCATGAGCAAGACCCCTCTCCTGCCAGTGCAACCCTGCCTCATTGGCCTAATGGTTCTCTAGGCAGTGCTAACCAGGATGTCTATCAGGTGCCTGCTCTCTTGCCCCAAGTGATGCCCATTACCTATTTGAAGCACTGCCCGAGGTGCTCTCTGGTGAACATGTTAATGCGTGCCACAGGAGGAATCCGCTCACAGTCCTCCTGGGCTGTGTGTCCCGGGAGAATGTCTGCTTGACATCTGAGAGGTGTGTTTTGTCACCCAGTCCCTGATGGATACAGCTTTGCTCAAAGCTTTTCATACAGGCCGTCCCACTCTTCCTAGGACACCAACTCAGCCATAGAGGCAGGACCGCGATGGATTGTGTCACCTCCTGCCTGGTCCTTTGTCTTTACTCGGTTCCCTGGTACCCAAATTCCTTACTCCTGAAGCTGGAGCTTCAAAAGCTCCCAGACATATTGGCTCTGGCGGATAGAAGCTTCCTGCCATATGCTATGGACCAGACTGGGAACCCCAGTTGGAGAGAGCAATGATCACACAGAAAGTACTATCAGCAACAGGATCAGAAGAGCAAGTCTGCGCCTCTCCTCGCAGAGAACTCCAACTCGTGTTGAACTGGTCTTCCCACTTTCTCAATGACTTCGGATGGAGCATGGAGTGTTCAGGTGAAGTGTTGTTGGCGATTTTTTCTGTGGTGGTGTTTTGTTTTGCTTGGCTGCAGTCTGTAGAGTAGTGAAGACTTGTTTCTAAAGGCTTATTTCTTAGACCATGTCGTATCTTCAAGGACCCTGGACAGGGGGGGATTCAGCAGGTTTACGTACACTGGTTCGCCAGAACCAATACCTAACTTTTTGTTTAATTCAGCGAACCAGTTGTTAAAATGGCACTTGTAATCAGTGTTAGTAATACATATATTTGTTTGTTGTTTCCTCCAAAAGAACTCTCCCCAACTTTGAGTAAATAGATATCCGTCTTTCCAAGGAAATGAGTCATTGTGCGTTCATCCATCCATTCATTAAACATTTATTGACAGAAATCCTACTCGTCCCAAATGCTCACGAAATGCCGAGGATGTATTCAGGAGCGAGAGTAAAACAAGTTAGTCACTGAGCCCGGGCTGGGTCCTGTGACACTATTCCAGAACCCGCACAATGGATAGAAGGCCATACAGGTGATACCAGATCATACAGGTGGATACAAGGCCATACAAATAGATACCAGATCATACAGGTGAATCCCAGACCGTGCAGTTGGGACGAGACCATGGCACCCTGCATCTCTGAGAACGTTTCCCTAGGGATTTCCTTGTCACACTCAAATCAGCGTGCACCCGGGCTGCCAGAGCGTCTTGA